ATATGTATGTCAAGAAAGTTTCAGTATCCCTCCCCCTTTCACGAAACAGGATTTTCGAGTTTGGACACCCTCCATTTTCCTCTTGACAAAGACTGTTCAGGTAAGTTGTCAAATATTTTTGTTTTTATGACTGCCCCCCTTTTTATACCCCCGCTTAAAAAGCTGGGGGTGTATAGTGTAGGAGTGTTTGTCCGTCTGTTACGCTTTGGGATACCCATCACTTATTCGCAACTCCTCATACCACTGAATAAAATTTAATGAGTTTTTCACAGAACTGTTCAGCCCCAAAAATCCTTATATCCTATGTTTGTGAGTTAATTAAAAATGGACATTTAAAAAAAAATACTGCTACGAAACAACGGCGCAAAGACATCAAATCTATACACTGATACATGTATCCCTGAAGAGTAGATCTGGGGTTATGCGGTCTAAAGTCGACGGATCAAACTATTCTAAACAAAGGAACTTATTATCTGTTCAATATCTTGAGAACCATTTGGTTGAAAAACATCAAACTGAACACATTGATTTCCCTCAAAGAGTAAATGACCCCTACGACAAAGTTTCGGTTATATTCATTTGTCGGAAAAGTAAAATTAATCTGATACAGTTGCGCTTCGTGGACTACAAACCACTTATTTCTAACATGTTAGTTTGGCAATTGTTTTAGTTTGTATCGTATTATACATTCAATATTAATAATGTAAACATTCTATATTATAATTAAACATTAATAACAACAACTGTCCGTGCCGACAAATAAATGATAAATAAAATAAATAATGATAATTTGTCAGCACGGATAGGTGCTGTTATGCGATCGACGACATCCAAAAATAAGAATTTAATGCTTATATTAACATTGTCTAATTTTCTTTCTTTATAAATGTTAATTTCATTCAATCTTATAATAAATTTGGCGCCTTTCAAGACTGGTATGCTTAATAGACGTAAGAACCGTTTTGACGTGGAAAGTTAAATAACGCAAACGAATATTGCGAGGGAAAAAATGGTAAATTAACTTTAAACATGCAATTGTTATATTTTTACAAAACATAATAGGGTAAGGCCATCTTTAAAACATTATCTGTATGCCCCCTCCCGACCGACTGGCTAAAAATGGCCCGACTCATAAACCCTTTTAAACCTCCAGGAAACGATTATTTTTGTTTATTCATTCCGGAATCAACAACTATTTTAATTTTATTAATACCTTCAACTTTAATAGATTTTGCAAATTCAGCTTTGATGTAGAAAATGTCGGGGGGGGGGGGGGGGGGAGGAGTTCTCATCTACCTTTCTACCGAATTTTGTTTATCCTAAGTCGGGAGAGGGCAAAAAAAACATTATTTTTTTAAATGGCCTAATTGTTTTTAATTAAACATTCTTGTTGTTCCTAGTGAAATTAAAGTATATGTAATCCCTATCGAGTATGCTACCGCGCCGTGACAAGGTTTCGTGTGTGTTATAGGGGATTCAATGTTGTATATTTCCAATGGCTTTCATGAAAAAAAAAACAATTGCACTGAATGTAAATATTATAATGTGAACAGAAATGTAATGATCTTTTTTGTTTATTGGATAAATATTTTGGTAAATGTGTTAATATATTCTAATCGTTCAGTTTTAATCTAATTTTCATACTGCAAGTTCATTCAAGCAATAGAAAGTCAGCTTGATCAATTAAACATACACTACATTTGAAATAAATACACAATTCGACAGTACTGCAAACTTGCTTTCACAGCTTAATTTGTATTAAATATTCAGTGGAAAAATCCCCTTTAATATAAATTGCAAAATCTGGATTTTTTTTATTGACAGATGTTATATTTATTAATAAAATGTGTTTAAGGGTCAAATATTAATTTTGGATCAAGCCGAATTTTAAATACAGTTGATTTGCATAAGATAATTAATTTCTTAAAGAAGCTCTTTTCTACAGCTACAATTAATTAAAATAGAGGAATATTTATTTTTGCAATGACATTTCCATTTTTGATTCCTACTCAAATAGATCTGAATAAATTTGTAATAAAAATTGTTTAACAAGTTTCCTTATTTTTTTTTTCTATTATTGATTTGATGATAGTATCTCGAGATCTCGTGTTTTTTTTTTTTTTAAACCAATGATTCTTATTCATTTTAGTATATTTTTATGCATGTGTAGCGGGAGATTTCGTATGTTACAAAACGCGTTAAAGTTTTCCTTATCTCTGCATTCATATTGAAAAGCATTATTTAATGAAAACACAAGTAGATGTACGAAAAAGAGTTAAATGATTGATGTAAGAGGATTTCAAAAGAAAATCTTCAACATAAAAGTAACCCAATATCAAAACAATTTTTAAAATGTTTAGTGTATTGTAAACAGACATGAAGGTATGATGTTTTCGTAAAAAGAATACATATTCTTTGACTCAATTTTAAAGCAGAATGTACAAATCCTATGCCTTGGTCAAAAGGGAAAGGATTCCCCCACCTAGAAACAAACTCCACTCCCCTTTGCAAAAGGCAAAATTCCTGAAGAATATCCATTAATCACCAACAAATTGTACGTGCCTTAATGCTTACTCCTTTAAATTAGAATCGTCTCATAGCTGAAATCAATAGTCTTTCTGTCAACTGGCGTCGTCCTGTGAAAATCGTCCCCATTGTAAGAAGAACTTAAAAATTTAAAAAGGTCTAGTTTTTTGAAATCAGGAATGTCCTTGTCATCCATATATTGATCGTCGAAAACTTCGAAATCATTGTCATTTTTCACAACAGATAGTTCAATAAAACTAAGAAAAGACACACAGGTTAAGATACACGCTGTACAAAGAACATATTCCATGCTGTAGGCGTATAATCTAAAGAGTAATCCCAATTTTTGTATTTCTTTTCAATCAGTTTTGTATCGGCTGACTTTATATTTTGTTAAAATTTTTCAGTACTGGTCATACCATAAAGTCCTTTTTAGTAAGAGAAAATACATCTTTATATTCAATTTTCGTACATGATCTGAGCGGATTCGTCAATGAACATTCCGTATTAAGTCAGCAATTATCCTGATAATCAATTATACACAAAGCTATAGGAATGCATTAAGAATGTGTTTTAAATACACACCTCTATATATCTGCTTCCTTGTTGACACCTGCGAAACAAAGCTACTTAATTAAGCACAAAATTATGAAACACACGCAGAGAACAATTATCTTATTTATGAGGGAAAAAAGTATATCTGTGTTGATTTACTATATTTATTAATCTAGGTAACATGTTTAGGTTCATAATCTCTGTTAGTCTTGTAAAAATGGTGCTTTACGCCTGTGATTTTTGAGAAAAAAATGTATTTTATAAGTAAAATGCGAACAGTTTTAGAATAGCTTGAGGGACAAAATTGGTCAAACAAGACAATTTAAGTTGACAAATAGGTAAAGGAGTAAAAGATATTTATCCCTTAAGTTAACTCTCTTATTAGGCTAATGAACCTTAAGTAAACATCTTGGATGAAACTTGCTGTAAGGATTTACGATCGACTATAAAGCTTGTCGCAGGCAGGCCGATTGAATACCACACGCTAGGCAAAAGGATAAATTCCGTTGAATTTACAAGTTACATTTATTTATTTACTACAAATGAAAATGTTGATTGCCTTGCTGTTTATTGATTGAGTAGTCGACCAGAGAGCTACAGTGCACACCCATTGAAAACGGAGTACATGTACATGTATATTTATTGCGCACAAAAAAGTGAGCTGATTCTCTGTTTATCCGTATGTTTAATCTGCCATCTCAGAACTAACCGTGTTTTCCTATCCTAACATATTCTATTCTTAACTTCACAACAAAGCATTCCCCTTTACCGTTGTTCATATCCGGAAGGGGGGGGGGGACTGAAATTGAGACCAATCGAATTTTTTTTTCAATTTATACTGCCATTTTAGAAGGCAAAGCAGTTTGGTTCAACACACTTAGTTGATATGGCAACTACGACAGCAGTTGATAGAAATCTAAGGAATGTTTTGAAATCGAGTTTTTGTGCAAGTGAGGTAAGAATTTGAAAAAATAAATACAGAACCAAACGCGACTTTCTGTACGCAATAATTGTCGTTTTATGGGTGGAACTGCTGCTCTCTGGTCTGTCAGTATATTCCCGATTTCCTAATGGTAATAAAACAAGACATTTTATAAATGATTTATTCAGATAAAGCAGGGTTTAAAGTTAATAGGTATCAGAAATGTTTAGTTCCTATTTGAAATGAACTGGATAACATTTCAAAGAGATTTTTTTTCACATTTTAGCATGCTGTACATAATAAAATGTGAAGATGGGGAACGGTAATCATGCTCAAAAGTCCAATTAAAGAAAACAGAGGTTGGATTAGGTGCCTTGTAGGAGTGAGCATCCCCTGTTGACTAGTGCGGTATAAACCGCAGTGTGCCCCTTGTCATGAAGGGAAGAATCTACAAACTTTTCATTTCGCTTAGATTATCGTAAACGATAGCCATCCCATTACAGTTTTCAATTATTGTTTACTCAATGAAGCAGACTGACAACTTCCAATATATATTAATTATGTATTCCAGTTACATGTATGAGTGATTGATCTTTTGTAGTTTTTGCAAGATATTTCTACTCACGCGAGACTTCACTGGATGCCGATGAAGGGCTTCAAATAAAGACATTTACTAAGCAATCAGGGCCACTGACCTGTGAAGGTTCTTTAATGTGCCAATGTCTGTCTTTTATAAAGGTCTCATCTTAAAGACCCTCAACTTCTATTTCAAAAAAGCTGGAACAGCTGTCACTTATTTTAAATCGACTTGGGTTTGTCCTTGCCGGGGATCGAACCCGCGGTGTTCCGATCATGTTTGAAATTCATAAATAGATACAGTCGTTGCTTTAATAAATCACTGTGCATTTTTCCATCAGGTATACAATGTAGCGCAAAAAAGGTTAAAAATATTTTCTTAATTGAAATCTTCATAAATTATATATAAAATGACAGTTCTCTAAGTATACATGTATGAAGAATATTGACGTTTTACAAGTAAACGAAAGTATATTTAAGATTACATGGCTATTGATTTAACTTTATATGTACACGTAAACTGTCGGTTCTAGAAATTGACATGTGAACTGACGTATTACTTGTAATATAAATTTAATTGAATCCAAGAAGAGCACTTGAATTTGAAAATGTTGTGAGGTCTGTGATGATCTACTATTTAATTAGTATGAACTGGTGGTGATGGTGATGGGTAAATTCTGGAGACGTTGGACACGTCCAAGGACTTCTGCACGTATAAAGTGGATAAAGTAGATCACAACTAACTTTTTCAAGGGGTTATAACAGCTGACCCTGACGCAATCTGTATCTCGTACCCGAACTATTTTACTCTACACCACCATACACTACGTCTCAGAGTACTAAGTTTTTACTGTGACAATGTTAGAATGTGATTCCTTTTCAGTTATTTTACACAACCCGTCTAACCATCAACCGCATCGATTTTAATGAGTAATAATATGTACGCCATGGTTCGTACACAATGCCTTGAGCAAAAATTGTTGTGTCTCCTCCTTGATACAATCCGTTTGGATTGGAACAATGACAGGCATTATGCCACCAACCGGATTTGAACAGGATTGCACAGTTTTCACCGGATCGTAAATCGTTGTCTTGGTCCACTGTGGTGAACTTCATGTTGTTGATAAGGGCATTAGATACACCAGTAAGGAAACAATCAGCTACAAAGAAATAAAGATTATAATCTCCCGCTTAAAGAAAAAAGCTAGGGGTATTAATTTGTGTCTATCTATTTTTCCGAATGTCCGTCATTCTATCGAATAACATTTGATTTCTTAAGATTTTGCGATAATACTTTATATCCGTGCTCCATATGACCTAAAACGACCCTTGCTGATTTAATGTAAAAGTTCCTGTATCTCTGACGTATGTACAATTGATCGGCAAAATAAAAGTTCTTATCTTGAAAAGTTATCCAGACAAATGATATACCCTATATGCAATATTTTGCTAGAAATGACTAAGTTCAACAGCAAGTATTTTTCTTATAAAATATCAAAATCCAAGTTATATACACATTTCTGATATATGTTCAATCAATCTGTAAAATAGTAACTTCCCATCTTGAAAACTGTAAAAGAAGTTATCCGGACAAATAGGGCACCCTTTATACAATATCCTGAAAAAAATGACTCGATTAACATCCGCAATTTTTCTAAAAATTATCAGCAAAAATTCAAGTTGTGTACACATCTCTAAAATATGTACAATTGATCTGCAAAATTAAAAAAATCCTATTTTGAACTGTAGGAGGAGTTATCAGAAACAATGATTTGCCCTTTTGGCAGCTGCCCCCTCCATCCGCCCGCCATTTTCACCATTTCAATAATCGGATTTTTCCTACGAAACATCCGGTTAAAATTTATATCACACGAATTCTTCAACATCAGCTTGCCATTCTGTAAGCCTTGTCATTTTTGACAATCGAGTAAATTTTCACTCACGATAAAATATTAGTAAATGTGACATTAAATTTTCTTATCTGTTTTAGAAGAGTGTTATTCCAACTTCAACTTATTAAAGAAAACTATATTACTTACCCACATCTCCAGAAAAGCCAGATAATGAAATCGCGTATTTTGAGGCTTCATCGCCAAGAGTCATACTGGAGTATTTGATATAACGTGTTTGGTTGTCGAAGTCACCCATGTCCATTCTCATTTCGTAAGAACCTTGACTCAGTAGACGAGACAGTTTCTTATTACCTACAAAAGCAGTAGTAGTGGTAAGAATTCATCAGACGGTAGAAATAAATTAATTGTTCTACGTCCATTGAGAGATTTTTTACTTGTATGTAAGACGTTACCAGTAAAATAGCTTCAGATCTAAATCTTTACTAGGTACTCAGGGTCATTGGGCAGTGAGTGTTCTTTATCATGTAAACACCTACTGTGAAATAGGACCTACATTTTTAAGTTCATATCCAAAAGACCGGTGACTTTCTCTATATCCAGGCACTTTGTACTAGCTATGTTAAACGTCTTAGAAAGCAAACAGGTATGCTTTAAATCACATTAAAACAATATACTATATGAGCAAACATCACGGACCTCTGAAAACAGAGGTGGTATGAGATGCTTTGGATGAGTAAACATGCATCGCCTGTTCACCGGTCACACCCACTGTGTCTTTGAATTTGTTCCCCATAAAGTTTGCGTATTCCTGTTTCTTTTTCCTTTATTTTAGAATGGGGATTTCTTTTTGTTGAAAAACAAATATCGCACATTTTTTAGCCTCATATATGAAATAATATAATTATAGCGGGAAGACTTATCTTGTACTTGTATTATTTCTTTTATTCTGCACATAAAAATGGAATTAAATGGCGTTTATTTTAGATGGGAAATTTTTTTTTGTAGTGACTAAGTAATGAGATAAATAAATTCATCCAATTAAATATTTAGTTTGAGTTATATCTCAAATAACGTACAGAGTGGGATCATTTTACATGAAAATGCCAGCAATTATTCAATCCAATTCAACTCAATTCAAAATGCCAGCAATAATAATTTGTAACAAAACCAGTGTAGAAATGTCAGACCTTAGTTTTAAGGAGTTAATTTGAAAATTCGCCTCAGATATCATTCATGTGCCAAACATTTATTTGTCTCTTTATCCTTATTACCTCCAATAATCATTGAAATATATATGTGTGTGTGTGTGTGAGGGTGTGTGTGTGTGTGTGTGTGTGTCTTTCTTACCAAGCCAGAATTCCCGCGTTAGATTACCAAAGCCATTCCTGTATTCGGCCCATGTTCGATTGAAATCTTCAGAACCGTCAACTCGGCGTTGAAAAACCTGCAAGTGTACAGTTAATTAAGAAGTATACAGTTAATAATGAAGCTTTGGTTCAAGAAATAAGGTATGTATTGTGATAAATATTTAGATATGCGTCTCGATTGCTTAAGTTAAATTTGTTAAATACGTAGAAGCGCAATTAATCAGCCATATAGCACATTAACAATTTCAAACATTTATTTGTATTGCTGTATTATTAAATCAGGTATTTAATTAATTTTTAATACTAAAAGTTTCATTTGTATTAAATTATAATATTACTGTCCACCCTCCTCCATCAGCCTCCATTTCACAAAATACAGTCACGTGACCCAGGGCTGGGATTGTAAGTCTGTACAGTCCAGAAGGTAAATACGGCGATAGACAATGTATTGCAGCACAGTCATTCGGGATATTATCTGAAAAAATAATGAAATGCTATAAATTTTTGATCTAAAAAGTATGATTGAAATGCTGTCGACTCGGCGCTATGCAACAATCAATAATTCATTAGAAGTAGTTTGACGTGCAATGCAAGGACACTGCAATCCGTGTGCCTTATTATATCTTAATATAGATATGAAGCATAATAAATAAATAAATAGATAGCATTTTCTGTCTTAAGATCCACAAATGCATTGTGAACGAAGAATTATAGCATTTTGTCATGTCAGACTGTTCGAACTTAGTACCTTACAGTCATGAATTAAACGTCTATTTTTTATATTATAATTATCATGCTGTGTTGCAACCACTTTTGAAAGAACAACTACTATTGAAACAAATATTTTCAGTAATAGTTGAGAATGCATTTCAGTCTAACACCAGGTTGCAACCACTTTTGAAATTACACTCACTGGCGTTACTTCAGTAGTGATTTCCATCCGTGTATCTCAGAGGTTAAAACACTTGGCTTTAAATACTACTTATCCAAAGTTCAATTCTCTTGAGATAATTGAGCTTTTCTTTCGCTCATTGGTTCTTTTAGGTCTCTTCAAGATATTGCACTTTTTAGGACGCCGCCAATTGACGATTTAGATCTTTATTATGGATATACAACCGTTAAGCAGTAAGGAATTCTATTTGTGCCAACATCTATTGAAACAAGAAACCTTGGTTAACCCAGTCTCATCCGAAGGAGGGGTCTTTATGTCCTTTGATACAAACCTAATAAATTTATGTGCGTTTTGTGAAGGGCTTACCTTTGGCACAAAATGACTTGTTACTTGTGAGCGTGATGCATTTTTCACCAAGCGAGCAGGAAAGGCACTCTGGTTTATGAACTGTGTGCTAAAACAATGAAATAAAAAATTAAATATTTTGTTGAAATGGCTGTTTAAAAGATAGACTCGACCTGTTGTTGTTGGATACTTATCTTATGTATGATTGAGTTATATTTGAAATTTGTGCACCCATCGGTATATGCTGACAATTTTTCCTAGTGTATCAGTGGCAACACTTTGAAAACAAGCATTTTGAGAGTTTTGCATTAGCAATTCTTGTCCCCTACCGGCAAGTGTAATCTGGTTCCCGTTAAAAATTGAAAATGCCACAATTCCGTCAGAACTCAATGAAGCGGAACGAAATGCAACTTTATCTATAACTCATCAAGGTAAAGTCACATGCCAAAAATCAGCTCAATATCTTCAAGCGTTTAGAAAAAAATTGCGGAAAACCCTGAAAAATCGAAAAGGTCATAATTCCGTCCAAAATCATTGAAGCGGAACGAAATGCAAACTTGATCTGTAACTCATCAAGATACACTCGTATACCAAAAATCAGCTCAATATCTGCAAGCGTTCAGAAAAAAAAATGCTGAAAACCAAGTGGGACAGACTGACAGAAGGACAGACAGACAGACGGATGGACAGAATCAGAGGAAACCTATAGTCCCCTCCGGTTTCACCGGTAGGGGACTATTAATTGTATTATGGCTAGATTAACTGATTTGATATTTTTATCAATTTTATTTTTATTATTAAAGTGTATATAATAATTTTAACTCTATATGAATAATTTGAATTTTTTGTCAATTGATCACATATAGAGAACTTCTGCTGCCTAATAATACAAAGCACCTTCGATAAAGTAGCACCTCTGAAAATATCAACTTTATTTAGAGAAAAATAACAGTATTTCATTGATAAAACTGTGTTAGAGCAATTGTTTCCATTTTGCATAGGATAGGGAATTGATAAGTAAGTGAATTTAACTACGGGATATGGAGACCGGTTCCTTAGGCAAAACCAAATAATGGAAGTCAAAGCTTTGCAATAGATGCTTGTACGAAAATGTGCTTCAAGTTGCAGAGTTTGCATTTTTGAATGGCAATAGGTTTCGTCTCGACATAAGAAAAATATTCTTAAGAAATAAATAAATTAATAAAAGTAAAATAAAAAGAAACAAATTTAAAAAATAATAAAATAAAATGGGACATTAAAAAAAGAATTTATTAAATAGTTGATTTTTTTTTCAAATGATACTTACTGGATTTAGTGGAATTCTTATGTAATTTGCAGATAATTCTGTTTCATTAATGGAGGACACAATTTCACAATGTAAATGTATTTTCTTATAGTTAACGCCTCTACACGAAGCGGGCCTTGTTAAACATTCCTTGATACATTGTCTATGACCCGCTGTTCTAACAAATCCTACGACTGGTCCAACATATCTCTCTCCTGCAATCTGAAAATATGTATATCCCGCACAATACATTACAACTATTAGAAGGAGAATGATACTCATAGTTTCCATCCTAAGGAGATTCTTCACTGAAATTTATTAATAGGCAATTTCGGAACATTTGACTTTCGTAACTAAATTTTGAAGGAAATGACAGATCTGTTTTCTAGTTATAAATAAGTTCTATTTAATTATGAATAAGCTAATGTTTATTGGAAAATTAATGGAAACACTCATGCATAACATAGCTAGGGTTACTTGAGAATAGAATTTTAATCGTCATTAGTGAAATCGATACTGTGAATGACTGCTCAATAAATAACAATTTCAGTACTACATGTAATTTGTTTGCGTTAAATAATTAATAATTGTTAGCATACAGGCTGTTAATTGGTAATTTTATCTTGGTACATGTTAACGAATTTATAAATCGACATTTCTGAATCAATTCTCAATGAAATAAAAGGTCTTCTTTTGAAGATATTTGTGTACAGAATTATTTAATGAAGCTTCAAAATCGGTTTTAAGGGCAATAGTCGTAAAATGTAGAATATTCTTTACAAAGCCTATAGAATTAATAACCTTACAAGTAAATATAAATAAATGCAGTAACATTTACAGACTATTTAAACACTTTCAATGTTCCTAACGTTTGAGATTTGTTACCTTTTGAAACTCTAGAAACACAGTTTTAAATTCTTAAGGATTTTTTTTTGTCGAACTCCGACTGAACCAGCTGAAAACTGAATCTACTAAAATCGTGTGCACTGAGTTTAGTTATAAAAAGTTGTCTTTTAAATTCGTACGAAAATAGCTGATTCCTTGTAATCATTTGAAAACTATAAATATAACTATTATTTGCGTCATCTTTTATTCGCGATTCATCGGTTTGAAATCAATCCACGATAAGTAATTTTCGCGACTAACGAACCATTTTCTACTAATTCAAAGCAAAATAAATGATTTGCGACGATTAATATTCGCGAGTTAAAGTAGGTCGCGAAACTCGCAGACATTTCTCGCACGCGAATAAAAGTTGGTTTACAGTATCAATTAATAAATCTAACTAGAGATCCGCCCTAGATGAATGTGCTTTTATATTCATGCGAAAAATGTAGCAGAAAGAAAACAGTCACGTGAAGTAACTGTATACCTTCTGGTCGCACCAGTAGACGTAAAGTTGTATGAGACTTCCGGTGGATTGTTGTGAAACTGAACAATATGGATAGATAAAGGAGACGAAATGACCAAGATTGCATAAAATCAAATTGAATTTTGAATGTTCTGTTTATTGAAATATATTAATCATTGATAAGGTGTGATTTGCTTGTCATTAAAATTATGAAACTGTGATTTAACTTGGATATTGTTAGAGATAGAATGATACTTAGTAATCCCTTTGGTAGGTGTTTGCCTGTCCGTCGTCTGCCACACCTTAAATCTGCAGACCTGAGAGAGGTACATGTAGGGTTTAATATCCTGTTCGGGTATTGCTTTGCATAAATTAAGACTTCTGTAAATTACAGGGGTTACCATCCTCGTGAGCTTGAACATGACCTTTGAACAAATACTCAAAATACTTGATAAAGTCGATAAACTCTAGGCAAGTCTAAAATGAGAGGCAATTGTAAAAATTCAGGAATTATTAAGGAATTAAGGAATTATTAAGGAATAATTAAAAAAGCACTGCTTTTCCATTGACTGACGTCATTGCAGGTCAAGATTTTATATCCTTGCCAAGCTGCGCAGCACAGTTTCGCACCAAAAAAGAAGCGGAGCCTTGTTTGAAGGTAAATATAAAAATAATTCTGGTTCATCTCTCCACGATTCAACAAATATTAGTGTGCATTTTATTCACAGAAACGAGCAAAAATTTGTAAAAATGGAGAGAAGACCAAGAGACTTTAAAAATTAAACCTTTTCCCTTAAAATGCGGTATTTTATTGTCGTTTCAAAATCTACGTTATTTTGTAGCGGAGTAGTATGCCGTAACAGTCCAAAGCAAACAAGAATCAAGAAGTTTTTGGATCGATCCTCGAATGAAACGTTCATTATTTTTCGTTTTAAGCTTAATTTTATTTACTGATTTATTTAAATTTAAAGGCAGAAAAATTTTTATTCAGAAAGCGAAAGCCATTCTTCCAATATACTGAAACAGCAATATAAGTGCATTTAATAACATGTTTACCTTATTATCTTAGAGAAGTTTTATAATTCATCTGAATTGTTACTACCGGTATGTTACCGTTACGGTTATAACTCGACAAGGTATTTTACTATAAATGAAATATTTTTCTATGTGCGTAACTTTGTAAAGTCAGTCCTGCCGTGGACAGACGACCAAATCAAGGTCATTTAAGGACACATGATACAAACAAAAAAAAAAAACTGGATGTCTGGATTCAAAAACGTTTTTGGATATACTTTGGTCATAAATGATGCAAATGTCAAATTTGTAAAATATTAAGAAATTGTTAACTTTCTGAGATGTTCAAAATTCTACCTACAAGTATCCATGTAAATCTATACAACTTTTTGTTACTTTATTGCAAAACTTTGAATGAAAAGTTATTATTTATGCGGTCAAACATTTTTTTTTCATTTTAAATATATAATCATGATTTTTGTTGCTGTTTTCATGATTTTTGAAAATAGTTTGAATCATTTGTCCTGAAACTGTAAATGTTTCATACAGTTGATTCCTGCAGATCACACGCCAATTACATCCTTCTTCTTTAAACTTCATTATGCCTTTGCCCTGCTGAATTTTATAGGTTACATCAATACTGCAATTATGTTTAATTAAATTACGTGACGAGTCTTAATAGAAAATCCATTGCGCACCTTAACTGTACTGCACAGAAGATTAATCTTGCAAGCAAATTAAAGTTGATGATTTCAATTCTATGAAGTATTTTAATTAATTGAGTAGAAAGACACACATTGTGTCCACCATATGAATATTTTTTGATTGGAATAGGGACTATCAATCGACAGTCGGAACACTTATTTATCGGTTACATTTTTCGCGGAAATTACAGAACTATTTTATTGGTAGAAAGACAAATGTATGTTTTGAAAAATAAATCAGAGAAGTTTTTCAGCACAAACTGAATTATGGATTACTCGAAAATAGATTTTAATCTCTATTAATAAAATCGATACTCAGGATGAATGTTTCTTCCATAAAACAGTTTCATTAATAATTTGATTGCGATAGAAATTAAATCACTGTTTGTGCATTGGCTTTTAATTGGTATTTTATTCCGTATACATGGTTGACGTGTAGATATAGAAAATTAATAAACTGACAAAGAACTCTCTAACTAATTAAAGATTCTGTCGTGAAGGCATTGGTGTATAAACGGTTTATAGCGGCTATACAAATTGGTCTTTTAGAAACTGTGTTAATTAATGTACGTATATAATGAGCGTATATAGTAAATGGTTAAGAAATTAAGATAATTAAATTCATAACAGCGCCATCGTAGAGTATTTAAAATAATTAGGTATATTTTCATGGTAGTTTGTTTTCATTTTTTAATAAGTAGGAGACCTAACTTTAGAGGTGTAACTTTAAATCCTTTAAAAAAACAGATGATTCAAGAAGCCTTAAAAAGAACACAGGGAAATAAGCTTAGGAAATACCAATAGCTATCATTTCTATAAGGTTGATAAACACAAACTATAGCTTCTATATATATAACTAAAGTGTACTTAAATAGACCGATAATAAAAATTACAGGCAAAACAAACTGAATGTTTTCCAAACATATCTGAAGCCGCAACAGGCTATACGGACGTGTCTTCGATCAGAAGGGCGTAAACAAGTGCTTCACAATAATTAAAATAAGACAAACAAACAAACAAAAACGTACATTTTTCTTTGAGTAAACGATAAATGTTTTCCCCATCTTTTTATGTTAATATTGTGAATTTCTTACAATTTCATGTTAAATAGTCAAATTTGATTGGTTTAAAAAACATTTATTTAAAAGTATTTTAACCCTAGCGCGTGCGAAAACTAGGTCCTCCGGGTAACATTAAATAGCAGCAGTTATAAATGCAATACGACGGAAACAGAACAAAACATTGCTAACCACCCAGATTGTCTGCACGAACAGTTTCTGTGACTTTTTTCCCCCCTTTTATTATTATATGCATTCAGATTCTAAATAATTCATTTTTTTACATACAAGTTTGAACTTTACACGAAACTGATTTTTACAATAAAATATAGATGTACATAGTTTAATAATTTTGTTGCTAAACGCATATACAAGCAACAAATATTTAATCTTTACATACTTTAAAAATTTCAGTCAGTCGGTTTAGATGTTAAACGATGCCCCATGTCAAGAATAACACCCCCGTTGGCAGGCAAAAGACTGTTTCTCTGGTTTTTGAAAAAGAGTAAGCTCTCTGGTGACCGTCAAAGAAACCATAAAAAGTCATTAAAAAAAACTGAAACCGCTATTATACTACCGACTCGGCGTTAAAAAAGGTATAGAATATGTTTCAATCCGTGACTTTTAAATTAATGGGTTTAAGAGAATACGAGAAAGTTACAGTTATGTTCATTCTAAGGAATAGTTAGATCATATTAAGAGAAATATTTGTCATAAAAAATGGGCGGAGCGGAGCAATATGATCTTACTGACTTAGAACCCCAGCCAATTAAATCAATGAATCAAAAATAAACTCATCCCACGATCGTGTCATAATACATGACTGTGTTGTATCACGCCTGAATTAGACGCTAATTGTACATATCGAACACAAAATCACTATTGAAAACACGCGCAGTTTCAAAATGGACTCGAACCCCATTCAGGTTGGCACTGACTTAAAATTTAATCTTGAATTATTGGCACTGGTATGGTGGATATTAAAGCTACTGAAATAATGAATATCCTTGTAACAAGAATTTTTTTAAAATTTTTTCTATACAACTGTGGTTTAATAACAAAGCCGTAGCCATCAAGAGTGGACATCGCTCTAAAGCCACATTTTCCTGTACCGAAGGAAATATGCAACACTAGCTCCTTCTGA